TTGTCTACCTCATTTTCTGTTTACTGCTCTAACAAGTGAATATCTTAAACGAGTGATCAGTAAGGCTTATCTTATCTTTAATATCAATTAAATACGTGAAAGACCTCAATCAGGATTGTATGTACTTGATGTGCTTTCAAAATATTGTTTTTCTTTACCTCTACAGGCAGAAAAATTGCCATAGATGCATCCATGTGCATCTACCAGTTCCTGATCGCTGTGCGTCAGGACGGAAACGTTCTGCAGAACGAAGATGGAGAGACGACGAGGTGCAGTCCCCAACATACAGGCCAAAATTCACACAGAGGAGTCCCAGTAGAACACTCACGCAGTTTATGTCTTGGCACAATGCTGATATGCTTGCTTCCTGTTTGCTCTCCTCAGCCATCTGATGGGAATGTTCTACCGGACGATCCGCATGCTGGAACATGGGATCAAACCTGTGTACGTGTTTGATGGCAAGCCTCCACAGCTCAAGTCAGCAGAGGTTGGTATGGGCTCTGGCTTCCTCTGGTGCTTTTCCCTTGTAAAAGTGGCAACCTGAGTGAACTTTCACTGCACCACATGGTTTCTGAAAGCTTCTGAAAATTCTCCTCTTTATCATGTTTAACAATCATGTTAGTCTAAACTGTCAAAAACAGGCAACATCTTACAGACACTTACATTTGCTCTCAACCTCCTATTTACAATGATTAATGATGTTATATATTTTCTAACCTACCTCTTTCTCTTACTCCTCAACCCCAGCTGGAGAAGAGAGGCGAGAGGAGGGCAGAAGCTGAGAAGTTGCTCACTCAAGCTCAGGAAATGGGTATAATTCATTATTTTCACACTTAAAAAAAGAGTCATTTGTGGCCCTACTCTGTTTATTCTTTTAGCAAATTGGCAATAGTAAAAAGTGGGATTTACCTTATATCAGCTTTATCTACTTAAGAGTCAAGGTTCATGAGTTTGGTTTTATAATAAACTGTCTGTTTTTTTCTCAACCCAGGGGAACAAGAGAATATTGACAAATTCTCTAAACGTCTGGTAAAAGTCACCAAACAGCATAATGAAGATTGCAAGAAGCTGCTCACCCTGATGGGGGTTCCCTACATCGAGGTAAGATCAAGACTGTTGTAGACTGTCACTAGACTTGTGACTAGAATAGAGACATCCTCATCACATCTGTAAATCCACTGTAAGTCAATAATATTGAGAAATTGAATTGTATTTCAGGCTCCGTGCGAGGCAGAGGCCAGCTGTGCTGCTCTGGTGAAAGCAGGGAAGGTGTTTGCCACAGCAACAGAAGACATGGACAGTCTGACCTTTGGCACAAATGTCCTGCTCAGACACCTCACCGCCAGTGAAGCAAGGTAATGAAACACTATATTATTTGTTAGCTGAAGCACTAAGATGTTTGGAGATTACTTGATGTTTTCACTTGGTTTGGTTTTGGCAACTTTAGGTGTATACTTCTATAAATTTGACATCAGTCCAATAGGATTGTATTATTTCTAATTGTTTTGTTGGCAAAATAATTTTGGTGTCGTGGATACAGACATCCCATTAAAACAGAATAAAATTGAATGTAACACTGTAACTTTCTAAAATGTCATTTGAATGTTATCCTTCTTGCTCTGTGTAAGCCAAGATAAACTCTACAGTCATAAAACCATAATGTTGAGTAGCAACAAGTTGTAAAGAAAAACTTTGATGATGGCAAATTTGCTTTATTTTATCATAAGCCAGTAGGCACCTGACATTTATGTCTTCTCATTAAATCATTTGAGTTTAGCTGCATTAATTTGGATGAGTGGACATTATGCTCAAGGCGACAACACAAGTAGTCATTAAATCTCCAGTAAAACTGTGAACTGATTAAATATTTCTTTTTTTATGTGTTTCAGGAAACTTCCTATTCAAGAATTCCACTTCAGTCGAATCCTGCAAGACATCGGCCTGACCAATGAACAGGTTCGTTTTTTTCTGACTTAAAGTAAATGTGCATCATTATTCTTAGTAATACAGAGTAATTTTTCATCTGGGATAAAATGGAAAAAAACATATTTTATTATATCATTACATGCAATACTAATTGCATCGCAACATACTAATCACAGAACCAGTAACCTCTTTTTAATTACAACAGTATGTGCTGTGAAAGTGCAAGCAACACCAGGAGTGATATTAAGCAACCTCTTCTCTCTGTTTTTCATCCTAGTTCATAGACCTGTGTATTCTGCTGGGCTGTGACTACTGTGGCACCATCAAGGGGATCGGCCCCAAGAGGGCCATCGACCTGATCAGACAGCACGGCTCCATCGAGGAGATCCTGGAAAACATTGACACCAGCGTGAGTGGATGTTTGCTACGATCCTGTCGTTTCAGCTCCAGGAAAGAGGAGCTTTGGTTCTGATGCTGTGTTTGTGTCTCGTTTGCCTCCGTGCAGAAGCACCCAGCTCCAGAGGACTGGCTGTTCAAAGAGGCCAGGGGTTTGTTTTTAGACCCTGAGGTGGTGGATTGTTCCAAAGTGGATTTGAAGTGGGTCGAGCCTGATGAGGAAGAACTGGTCCAGTTTATGTGTGCTGAGAAACAGTTCAGGTGAGTCAGCACATGCTGCATGTTGTGCATCATTTGACCAGTAGACTGCACTGTTGACCACGTAAATACACAGCTTGATACTTTGATACAACCTTTTGAAGTAGTACTGATTTCAAAAGTTGTGTCTATAGGGTATTGGATCTCATGATGAATTTCAAGCGACGGTTTATTGTAAATTGTTATTTGGAGCCAATTTATATTCTTAGTTGTAAGTTGTCTTGTTGATTGTTTAACGATGATGATAATATATTGTGTCCTCACATTCTTTACATCCTGCCTTTAAAACATTGAAGGGAACTTCCTTTGAAAATGACATCGTATAAAGGATGAGATACAGCTTTTTATGCATTCAGCCATTTATTTATGTTTATCTGTTTCTAGTGAGGACAGGATTCGTAACGGCTATAAGAAGATCCAAAAGAGTCGACAGGGCAGCACACAAGGACGGTTGGACTCTTTCTTCTCGGTCACTGGATCTCTGTCCTCCAAGCGAAAGGTACCTTATTGAAAATTACATTAGTGTTTCCAAACTAAATGATATTAAGGATGTTAACCCAATTAACCCTCTTTAGAGTAGTTTGTTAATTTGTTATCCCTCATCTGTCTTTTTCCTCTTTTACCGTGAAGACAAAGTTACGTAGCGATTAAATAAGCTGCTATATTTTGATGCTGGCGTATCTTTTCATTTATTTTGAGTTGCTGTTGCACATTTTCAGTTATTTTCTGAATGTTGAACTCATTTGATTTTTTTTACATTTGGTTTGTCTCACTTAGGAACCTGAGGTTAAAGGATCGGCGAAGAAAAAGCAGAAGACTGGAGCCACACCAGGCAAATTTAAGAAGGGCAAATAGACTGAACACAATTCTAAATAAACTGTTGAGACGAGATGATGCAACAGACTAGGAGGTTGTGTATAATTATTAGTTCAGCTGAACATCTGTTACACACGACTAAACTTGTAAAAACAATTGGTGTAGTAAATGTTTAAGGGTTTTGTTTAAGTGTGTTTTTCTGTTATACAATAAAAGTAAAGATTTTTTTTGTACAGCAGCTTGTCATTTGATTTAATTCACTAGTTTGGAGCGTACAGTGTATGTAAAGATGGGCGACTTTACAGCTCCCCAAAAGTGGACCCAAAGTGACTCCATCACTCCCTGGTGGCTGGCTGCAGTGTATTTCTGGCCTCCTACATGTTAGTGGATGGTACATGGACCAAACAAGTCAAAAGTTCACTTGAAATAATAATTTAGAGTCATTTCAGGAAGTTCTTATCACAATTGTTTGTTAAAGTATTAACTCTCCCATTGGGTTTGGTTTTAATTTGTTATTTGATGCTATTAAACGGGG